TAAGACTATTGCTCTTTCCAACAGGTTCTACCATCCTCCTCCTCAGGGAAAGTACAATGCAGAATTCAGGAACAGCCAAGCAGGTATAGGTTTCCCTTGGAGAAAAAGGCAGTTAGGACTATGAACAAAGAAACAGGTAGCAGGGAAAGAAGTGAATCCTATGTGGAACACAAGCAGAACCAAAAGGGAAAAAAATTACATGCAGACCACAGATGGGCTCATAGTCTGTGGCACTTCCCGTGCTCCAAAGGAAACTGACCCTGTGAAAGCTGTACTGAACTGCAAGTATTTATGCTTTAAGAAACAGTGAATGAAATCTTTCCTATTCTGGCTAAAGGTTGCTTAACCATTATAGCAGAATGGCTAATATTGTTTTAAAATCTGAGTTAAAACTGACTGTGACCACAAGAGGTCACTACTCAAATACTAACATTTACAAATAGAATTTAGAAATGTATTACTTAATGTATTTGTCCAAACTTTTAGTTCAAACACTGGTAACTTCAAGACTGGATTAGTGTAATGTGTTCTAGGTGTGGTGCAAACCTCCTTACAGCTGGTTCAGAAATGGCAGATAGCGCACAATTTAATAGGTAAATTACTGGCCAATGTGCATTCTCATATACATATTACCTCTGTATTCAAAAATTTATACTGGCAGCCAGTCTGCTACTACAGTTTCAGAATCGGATGTTACTATACAAAGCCCATTAATTTAAATAGGGACAGATGAAGTCCTGTTGAAAAAAGGATGGAGGGGCTGAGTCCTTCTGTTATCAAGGGCCCTTGGAGTAACAGAATTCTTTGTGAAAAGTAACCTTCCCCAACCTTCCAACCTATTTTTGGCAGGGTTTTTCTGATCCAATACAAATGAATGGATAAATTATGCCATTCTCTTACATGGGAAGAGGGAGAGGGTAACAGACAAAGAAACAGCAAAAGAGGAGCCAGAGAGAGAAAGAGAAAGAGGGAAAAGAGAAGGTGGGCAGGAGGAATGTCAGAGAAACCAACTATGTATGTAAAGGAAGAAAGTGCCAGGCTGCATTCAAAAATTATGACAAGCTACAGTGGAAACCACCATGATATGGTCTGCCATGTTGTCTGAAACCAGTTAGGGCCTCTTATGTGCATGAGAGTTCTAATGCACACACCATCTGGGGAGAGTCTTCTCCCACGCGATCAAAATGGGCAAATAAGGGAATGGTCATAGAACTGCCCGTGCATCCTTCCTTTTCATGTTTTCTCAACATGTTAGGGAGGGGCCCATGTGAACCTCACTTGCCTGTAAAACACCATAATAGGACATATTTCTATCAAACAAGAAAGTTCAGTCATATCATAAAATAGATTGTTATAACCAAAGGAGTGTGCAATCTGCTGTATTGAAATACACTAAGTGCTATGTTTTCTCCCACAACCCAAAGCTAGGAAGCAAAGTCCTACTGTTTGCCATGTCATTTGCATTCCAATAATGCTTACAATCCTTGGAGTACAAAATGAAGCAGGGCACAGGCTGATAGAATTTTGTCAAGAGAATACGATGATCACAGCAAACACTCTTTTCCAACAACCCAAGAGATGACTCTACACATGGACATCACCAGACGGTCAACACAGAAATCAGATTGACTATGTGTTCTGCAGCCAAAGATGGAGAAGCTCTATACAGTCAGTAAAAACTAGACCAGGAGCTGACTGTGGCTCAGATCATGAGCTTCTGGTTGCAAAATTTAGGCTTAAGTTGAAGAAAGTAGGGAAAAGCACTAGGCCACTCACATATGACCTAAATCATATCCCTGATGAATATACAGTAGAGGTGACAAATAGATTTAAGGAATTAGATCTGATAGACAGAGTGCCTGAAGAAATATGGACGGAGGTTCGCAACATTGTACAAGAGGCAGCAACTAAAGCCATCCCAAAGAAAAAGAAATGCAAGAAAGCAAAATGGCTGTCTGAGGAAGCTTTACAAATAGGGAAGCGAAAGGCAAGGGAAAAAGAGAGAGATACAAACAATTGAATGCAGAATTCCAGAGAATAGCTAGAAGAGATAAGAATGCCTTCTTAAATGAACAGTGTAAAGAAATAGAAGAAAACAAAAGAATAGGGAGGACCAGAGATCTCTTCAAGAAAATTGGAGATATGAAGGGAACATTTCATGCAAAGATGGGCATGATAAAGGACCAAAATGGCAGGGCCCTAACAGAGGCAGAAGAGATTAAGAAGAGGTGGCAAGATTACACAGAGGAACTATACAAGAAAGAGCTTAACATCTCTGATAACCACGATGGGGTGGTCACTGACCTCAAGCCAGACATCCTGGAATGTGAAGTCAAATGGGCCTTAGGAAGTCTGAGCAACAACA